TAGAGAAGAAGGGTAAAACCACACGAAAGCACCCCCCCCCCCCCCCAAACAACCAGCTGAGCAAGGCTTTGACCAAATTTCTGTTCCCATGTTTGTAACAGACTGAAAGTTATTTTGTTTTTCTCTTGTGCTGTTCATAACGACTGAAATTGAACGATTAACATCCTTCAAAAGAGAACGGCAGGAAGAAAATTAACTATTTGTATTATGTGGTTATGCTTTAGAAGACACGTTCAGGTCTTGATGCATCCAATTTCACCATTTCTTTACAGGCTCCAGTTGTATGCTCTCCAGGTCGCTCCTAAGAATTGCAAAATTCTATCTGACATTTTTTGCCGTTTTGATCTACTTGGACCATGAGGTCAGAAACCAAATGTTTTATCTGCTCTATCAAAATCGTAAGATTATTCGTTAAAGAAATGCATTTTAAAAAGCTGGACATGTCGTGAAACTCAACATTTTTAAAGTCAAATTTCTCAAATCTAGGTACTGAGCAGATAGAACTTTGTAATTCTGAGGTAGCAAAGTACTTACTGAATACCAGACCAGCGCTTTAAGTGTATGGAGACACAAATTCTCCCCATATGGGAATTGAACTCGGGTTTTCTGCATGAAACGAGAAGCACCAGTATGCTTCCCTGGAAATTGAGATTGTTTCACATTGCAATCAGGTCTGCTGGGGTGGGGAAAAAAACTTTGAAGCTAATAGAGCTTACTGTTGAGTGGGGATTTTTGCTATACAAATGCTTTTAATTATTAGTAGTAGTAGTTCATTCTATCTCAGACTTTCTCCTGGGATGTTGGAATCCTTCCTCTACGCCCAGGTTGGCCCTGACGGGAAGTGTCGCGGTCAGCCTCCTGTATAATCTGTTTGTGTTGATGGGGGCGTAAAACACCTACATTTTTGTTTTAAGTCGAAGTTGTTGTGCAAGGTCGTTGTATATTATTACCTTATGTCAGAGAACATCATCACGGCACGACATGTCAAGTGGATCCTCTCCACTTGAAAAAGGCGTTGTGTGTGTGTGTGTGTGCG